ACAGCCCCGGTGCAGAGAGCGCCCTCCGAGGAAACACTGGAGATATGACGCAATACGATATATACAGGGTAAAATGATCAAATAATTAAGAACAGGATACAATATAAATATAAATAGAGTAAGAAGATTAAAAAATGAATAAGAATAAAATCAAAAAAATATTAGGTAAATCCTAAATTAATAATAGAATAACAGGATAGAATAAATAAGCATAAAAAATAAATAAACGCTAAGTAAAAGCTAAATTAAAAAGGTGGGTCTTGAGCCTTAACATAACATGTTTACGGCGGGATAAAGACGACAGCAGTAGCTGCTAATAAAGTTTGGCACATCTGTAAGGACCATTTACTGATGAGTCGTTACTCAAGAAAAAAACAGCTGAAAAAAAGACGACTTTTTCAACGTATTTGTCAGACTCTCAGCAGGAAACGGAGCATCTGACACTGCATCGCTGACAACTTACTGTCCACTCTTTGTGAGGAAGTAAAACACATGACCGACATGTAAAGGAGAGATGGACTTGTTACCAGCCACATGTTTAAAACCAGCCTGCCCATTACTTCCTGTCATGTGTCTCCTGCTCTACTGATGGATGTCCATTTTAAACACAGCCAAGTTAATAATGAGCCCACTGTATGTACAGTAATCCCTGAGAGCCCCAAGTTCAGGCTGCAGACTGATTGACACTCAGTTTATCAGTGTTTTCATGCCATTGCATCTCTACGAGGTCACAGAGCTGTCCAGCTGGGACAGCCAAACAGAAGATGTGGACGCATTTCTATTATTTATTTATTTTTTTAAACCTAATGAGGCAAAAATTTGCTTTCTAGAAATCGCTGAAAATTCCCCAGCTCATTTACATTAAGACTTTTCTCTTACAAATGTAATAAAATCTTTTATTCTAATATGGCAGCGAGACATTTTCTCTGCCTAAATATGTGCTGGTTAGGATGAACGCAGACACCTGAGCGTGCTCTGTTACTTTCATGTAAAGGAAACGATCGAGGAGAAGATAAGACATGAAAGCGTGAAGCCTCCCAGTGTGTTAAACAGGGACTGTGAATCGCGCTGCTGTAGCAGAGTCCAGGAATAAACGGAAACGAGCAGGTCGCCCTTAAATGCCAAGGTTACGTTCAGACCGCCACTGCGACGAGTTTTAATGATGGAGAGGAGGAGCGGGGGGAGTAAACAGGGAGGAGGTGCTGCATTCGGCCAGATGTTTGATGTGAGGACAAAGAAAGCCCACGGCAGTAGCAGAGGCGACAGGAGACGCCACCGGCGAGGGAAACAGGCCAGTCGTGATTTCATTACAGAGTAACCTGGCGTTCATTTCCTCACTGTTCAGTCACACAGACCGCAGATTAAAGCGCTGCAAATTTATTTCTCCTTTACAAACAAGAACAAATCACACACTCCATTTAAATATCAGTGATTCGACTCTCCAACGCTCACAGAGTGCTCATGCTTTATTGGCTGCGGCTGAGTGTCGAGGCGAATCTGAAACACGAAGAGGGACCTGAAATTTAAACCGTCTTGTTAGCGCTCTGCCATCAGCCACAGGTAGGCGCAGCTCTACCTGTGGCTCCCATGAATCAAACAGCTGAAGTGTGTGCGGTCCACGGTGGATCTCAGATCCTCACTGAGCTTCAGTTTCTCTGACTAACTTAAAGGAGACGCTGGAATATTTCTGTAATACACTCAGATTACTTCAAACTGTGCATGATCGAGAATAAATTATTTCAGAATATCTGCATTTTATTTTTTAATGCATTCTGCACATTTACCTCCGAGTGCTTCACAGAATAATCAGAGGACAAATTTACAGAGACTACACTGAAAATAATCACATTTAATCAAATTCCTGTAGAAAAAGTCAAATTCCCTCTCTGCTGCTTTTCCGTCTCATACATGATCAATAAAGTGAATATTTGGAGGCAAAGAAATTGATTTGAACACTTTCAGCTTTGAGGTTTTTTTTAAATGAAGTAACAATGAACAACCTACCTAATGAGAATAGCGGCTAATACAGCCCTCATGTTTGACCATGTGGCTTATCTTACAGTATTCAGATTTGCATATTATTAAATAACAGTTAAACACTGATTAGAGCTCAATTACTCAAAAGAAAAATCAGCAATTATTTTTACAATGCATCACTTCCTTTTTCAGACAAAAAGACTGTTTTTTCTCTCGTATACGATCAATAAAGTGAATTTATGCAGGACCAAGTCAAGCAATCTGCTTCAAACCCTTTCAGTTCAACAAAATCCAATTAAAAGGAAGAAACTGTATAACAAAGAGAGAGAGAGTTATTTGAGATTTTAGTGTCCACATTTAATTTTCCTGCTTTTGCTTTGCGTCTCTGAACTTATAGTTGAACCAAAGATTTCACCTCCGTCCCACGAGCATCACAGCTTTAGAAACTTGTGTTTTCATGTTACAGCAAATCAAAAATATCTGATATCTTCAGGAAAACGAAACCTTTTCCCCGCCCGAGTGACTCTCAACATTTCAGATCCTATTCAGTTTTTTTCCCCTGTGTGAAAAGAACAAACTCATTTTCTTCATGTTGAAACAGAAAATATCTGAATAATGACACAAATGAAAGTTTAAAAATATACCTGACACTCAGGCTCATACAGTTTTTCTACACATGGATTCATATGATGTCACACAGAGTGGACAGAAGCTCCACCCAACTTTGTATCATATCTAAACGTTTGTGTAGTTACACACCTCTCCACTAAAAGTAAAATAAACAACTGAATTTTTGTGGGCCACCCCCCTCTCACCCAGTTTGTACAAATAAATAAATAAATAGATAAACTCAGCGCCCATCTGGTGTTTCACTCTTTAAGGATTACTCTGAACTGCAACACATTGTTAACACTTAACAGAGCCGCTTTGTGGCTGGGAGCCCACGTACGGACCCGAGGCTGCTCACAGAGACGTCCACGGCGATAATGTGGGTCAGGTTTTCCACACGAAGGGTCTCATTCACACTGGGATGTGATCGGGCCCGGGAGCGGCAGCCAATCAGCAGCCTGTCACTTTTTCCTTCCATCATGTAAACAAACCGCCCTGCTTCGTTAAACTACCGCAGGATCAAAAGAGCCGCTGCGCTCGCTCCCGCCGCGGTGTTCCCCGCTCCTCTCTGCCCGGCGAAGGCAGGTCTGCCTCCAATGTGCGCAGCGGGGCTCCCTGACCTTGGCTTGTCTCCTCTCGGTCGGGATTTGCTGGGACAAAGCGGGGCATCTTCTCCTCGACACCCGGCCGACATTTCCTCCTCCAGACCGCAGCTTTCCGCCGCTGGAGGAGGACGGGGTGAGCGATGGGGGAGACGCCTGTGGCTGTTTTCCTATGTGATGCTCCCAGCAGAGCTGGTAGATCACCGGCAGCCATCAGCCCACTTTCACTGAGACCCCATCTCACTCGGAAAATGGCTTTCGAGCAGCGAGCCATTTTCCCCCAGCTAACGGGGGTTAGCTCGCGTTTTAGCCCCGCAAACGGAGCCCGCTGGTGGTCTCCAGCTGCGGGCCGAGCGGGGCTCACAGAGCGAAACACGACGCAGATTGACGGCGGAGTGAGTCCCGACCGTCTCCGTCTTTGTATAAGACGCATTTTGTAGAGAAGAGGCGCTGAAAGCACGCGCACGCACACACGCACACACGGCCGAGCTAACGCTAGCGTTAGCACGCGGCTAGCCCGTTAGCAACCCCCCGCTATGACAGAAAGGGGGTATAACGGAAGTTCAACACAAGAAAAGCACAAACAGACACACAAAAACACCGTGGCTGGGCCGCACACGCCACCGAGAGCCCGCACTTTACTCACAAGCGAGGAGAAGCTGCAGGAACTCGCAGGGGTTAGCGTCCCAGCTAGCCTTAGCAACCCCAGGCTAGTCCGGAGCGACACAAAGATCTCGACAAACACACCGCGGCCCCCTTTGATGGAAAACCGCGTTTTCGAGGCGTTTCGCAGCGCACACTTACCCCTCAAATGGCCTCTGCGCCCGCAGGGTGAACGATGCACGGCGCGGAGATGCAAAATGAGCCACTTTCACGGATTAGGCATGATTATTTTTCCTCCCCTGCTCATCACCGACTTTTGGTTGTTGGCTCGGTCCCCCTGCCGCCGCTTCAGCAGCGTACTTCCTGCCGCTGCCGCTGCTAGCCGAGCGCAGCGCCGCTCGGTCGCACGCGCGTCATCACACGCACAGTGAAGTCCTCGCGCCGCTGTAGCGGCACGGCGCGCTGGCGGCGCCGGGCTCTCAGGGCTCGGACTCAGCGGTGTCCATTTTGGCGCAGACACACCGACCGCAGCCCGGCCCGTCAGGGAAAAACAGAACCGAGCCGAGGGACTCGTTCAGGCGCTCACACCTTGGGCCCTGCAGCCGCCTCTGTGTCGGTCCCTGTGCCCACTAATCAGCCGCCAATTATTATCCCACTCAGTGCGGCACCGATCACACAGGTGAAGGTGAGGCCGGTCTGCATGACGCACAGACTCGTGCTCAGGACTGGGAAGTCTGCAGTGTGACCATTAAACACTCACCTGTGCTGTTCTGTCCCCGCAGCAGGTTCACACACACCTGAAACATGCTACACTCTGCATCATAACGGTAACTTTGGGACTTTTACACACTGTAGTAAACCTTGCTCAACAAACCCAGGTGATATGATGTTATATATGGTGTATAATATGTGATACAGGTGTCACAGGTGTAATGGTTTCTGGAGATGTTGCTGCAGCACGTTCCTGCATTGCTGATTGTCTCCCAAAACAGGGATGGACAAAGAAGTCTAAACCAGCCTTCTCGGTACAGCACATCATTTTCAATCATTCATACATTGTAGCTGAGATGTTGTGTCTCTGGGGTATACAGATGGTTCTGAATCTCGGAGTCCACCCTGGAGCTGACTCCCTTCAGTAAGAGCATGCTCACATTTCCCACAAACTGTGTTCGTCCTGCAGATCCTTCATAAAAACACAACATCAGACAGCACCGATGCTTTGGTGTCAAAGTTCTAACAAACAAACCAGTGTCGAGTCGTCATTTTAAGATGGAGCATTAATGCGATCCCGAGCCTGCTGTGAATGAAGTGGGCCAGCAGCTCTCCCCTCACAGACTCTGAGGAGGTCCTTCATTAAAGTTATACAACAGCTCCATGAAGCACCAATAAAACGTCATGAAATCAATAAACATATTGATCTGCAGAGCACAAGGATCAGACGAGTCCCTGCAGGAACAATCAGTGTGAATGCAAACCTCAGCTGGTCCATTCATCAGTCAGCTGACTGTCAGAAAAAACAAACTTATACCAGAATAAAAGAATATAAAGTAATCCCAAAAGTCCCTTCAAGTAATACTTCACAATAAAAGTCTAATCAGATCTAATCGACATGTTTCAGTGTGAGATGGTGGAAAAACCAAAAAGTTTTAAACTGAAACAACATTTTATCAGCACTTTTTCCCTTTTTTGTACAAACTTTCCCGCATTATGAAGACTGAATACTGTTTATCTCCCTTTTGTTGTCTTATATTTATTATTTTCATAATATCACAATGTCTCTTAACCCAGCCACATGGGGACCACGAGCCAGTGTAGTCCTGGTTCAGATAAACTGGGAGGGTTTTATCAGGAAGTCCATCTGATGTCAGAGCAAACATGCACATCGTAAAGATGAGATGGTCAGGTTAACGAGCACCTGTGCTCTGTGTGGAGCTGATGGATGAAGAGCAGGATGGAGGAAGTGAGGTCAGCCGAGGTTATCACAGCTAACTGAACCAAGTGTGAAAAATCCTTTTAATCAACTCAAGTAAAAATTGAATTATTTTTGTAAACTTGCAAAACAAAATAAAACAAAATAAAAATAATAATAGAAGGAAAGTTTGGTGAAGAGGAAATGTTACTATGTAAATATTGCAATGAATTCTGTCCTGACTGGTTTCTCTCTACATCCAAAATCCTGTTTTATTTTACCTGCACTGACTCATGCCAATAATAATACTTAGAAAGACTAAAAGTAAGAAAAACTTGAACTGAATTGAAAGTCTTTATTGTCATTATACATAGTATAATGAGATGCACTTAATATAAATATAAATACACAGTACAGTACTTGATGACACAGACCGACAGGCAGAGAATTGATGATATTTCAGTGCAGATTACTTGTGTGCAAGCGAGGGCGTAGATTTGGTTTTGGCGTTGGTGGGGACGGATGATTCAACCACCGACCCCTGCCCCGTTTCTTCTTTTTTCCTTTTTGTTTTTGCTTCTTGATAAAATAAAGGAGAAATATACTTCCCTGCATATGCTATTCTACGTGCTTTTAGACCATTTAAAATTACAATTCATAGTTTTATATGTGAATTATATAATGTTAAATTACTATTAAACAAATGACTAAGTATTTTAGGCTACGTCCACACGTACCCGGGTATTTTTGAAAACGCAGATGTTTCTATGCGTTTGCATCTTTCGTCCACGCGTAAACGGCGTTTTCGGTCACTGAAAATGGAGATT